ACTTTTACTACTTTTACTACTACTACTACTACTACTACTACTACTGCTGTTACTACTACTGCTACTGCTACTGCTACTGCTACTTGTACTGCTACTGCTACTACTACTACTACTACAACCGTCGCCACGGCCGCTTGGCGACGGTTGCCAAGAACCAGGCAGAGATGGACAAGGCGAAGCAGCTGAACTGGGTGGACGAGCGGGGACACTGGAGGATTCTCAAGTGGAATCCTCTGAAGAGCGAGCTTCAGGTCGACGACAGCAGGCCCACGATGCCTACGGAGGACCTGCTCAAACAAACGGTGGAACTGAGGAAGGGTGTCACAGAGGAGGCCCTCCACCGGTTTCGGAGTCACAAGAAGATGACAGAGAATCCCACGGCCGAGTGGGTACAGTTCCGGATGGAGATCTCCTTGCGCCCCCTTGGCGACCCAATATGGCACACACTCCAGGGTTGGGTGGGACAAGCGGCGTGGCATCTCCTAGGGTGCCGTCTACGACGAGAGAGGCCGCAATACAACGGCCTGGCCGATCTGGTGCGTCAGGGACTTTAAGTGAAGGTGGGGGCCATAGCTTGGCCAAGCTGCTGCGTGTGAAACTGCATAACAGTGGAAACATGTGCTACATCAACGCGTCTATATATGCTACAGCATGGTCAGTGCTCCAGCTACAGCATTATGGCACGAGGGGTCCGTCACTGCACACATGCTACAGTGCACTTTTCGCTGGCGCTACCAAGCCGTCCCTGGTCAAGGTCATGCAGCTCGTGCCGTGGCGACTCCTGCTTGGGCAATGGGCTCAACCCAGTCGGCAACATGACATCTGTGAGTTCCTGCACTACATGCTTCCAAGGTGTCTGCGATGGCCAACTGATTTGGCTATCCCGACTTGGGAAGCAAGGCAATTCCGGGATGGTCGCCTTTGAACTCTTGACTCTGGTTCTGCCAGCCTGCCTATTCCTCTCCCTCTTTGCCAGGGAGCTCAGTGCCATCTTCAGTGGTGCATTGATGGCTGGCACATGCAGTCCAGCGTACATGCCTTACTCGGCCCAGCCCCTTTGGTCTGTTTGCAGCTGCTCCGCTTCCACAATCAGGATGGGGTTGTGCAGCGTGATCCGCGGCCTTTGATAGGCCACCTGTCTACAGTGCACCTTCCTATCTTCAAGAGCACCAGTGCATCAGAGCGTGAAAATCTCGAGTGCTTCCACATGCCCTACCAGGTGGTGGCTCTGGCACTGCACTACGGGGCTTCGCCAACTGAAGGGCATTATAGAGCAGTCATGCGGGGACAGTCGCTTTATGGGGATGGCAAAAGCTGGATTACGGATGACAACTGCTGTGCACGCTCCTTCTGCACTGATGAAGATACAGCAGCAAACCGCAAAGCTGCGTATGTGATCTGGCTGCGATCTGAGCCAGGTCACTCCTGAGACGATGCGTGGTGACGCCTACAGGTAGTGTGTCGCTGGTCACTGGACCCGACACAGACTCCAATGAGAGTCCGATTTGCCAAATGGTAAATCGCTAGCTCGCTAAGCCGACTTTTGGACGTCAGCGGCGTGGGGAATGAATACTACTATTACTACTACTACTACTACTACTACTACTACTACCATTACTTTTACTACTACTACTACTACTACTACTACTACTACTCCTGCTACTACTACTACTACTACTACGACGACGACTACTACTACTACTGCTACGACTACTACTACTACTACTACTACTACTACCGCTACAACTACTACATCTACTACTACTACTACTACTACTACTACTACTACTACTACTACTAGTACTACTACTACTACTAC